GCCTGAAAAAGCGTAGGCTCAGGGGTGATCTGATGGCCACCTACAAGTTTATCGGGGTGACCACCAGTATCTGGGGGAACGTTTGTTCACCAGAGCGCCCCAAGGGATGACGAGGTCAAATGGTCACAAACTACTTCAAGATCGTTTCAGGCTGGACATAAGGAAGAATTTCTTTACTGTCCGAGCCCCCAAGGTCTGGAACAGCCTGCCACCGGAGGTGGTTCAAGCGCCTTCATTGAACACCTTCAAGATGAAACTGGATGCTCATCTTGCTGGGATCCTATGACCCCAGCTGACTTCCTGCCCTTTGGGCAGGGGGCTGGACTCGATGATCTTCCGAGGTCCCTTCCAGCCCTAATGTCTATGAAATCTATGAAATCTATAAAAAAGATAAAATTAATATAGATAGAAAGTTACAGTGGTATTGCCTCAGTAAGATCAGAGAATCACAGAAAATGAAGGTCGGAAGGGACCTCTGGAGGTCATCTAGTCCAACCCTCTGCTCAAAGCAAAACAGTTTCCAACAATACCATCCTACCCAAGGTTTTGTCTAGCTGGGTTTTAAAAACCTCCAAGGATGGAGATTCCACAGCTTTTCTGGGTGAGGGAAGCAGGTTCAGTCCATGGGACAAATTGTACTCTTAGACTGACCCTGCATGGTGCAGGCAGAGTACAGGGTCAGTCCAGCACAAGTGCCATGGGCAGGGCAGTGCTGCATGCTGTCTGTGGGGCCAGTACAAGATCTACAGGCCATATCTTTGATGTGACTGATTTAGATGAACATCTTTCCCTCACAATATAGTGTTCTGCTGTTTTGGGAATACCATGACTAAAATAAATTAATGAAGAATTTAGAGAAGAGCAACAAAAAAGATCAGGGGGCTGGAGAAAATTGCTTATGAAAGAAAATGCATAAAAGAAAGATTCTAAACTGGTATAAATTAGAAATACTGGTAGCCCCACTGGAATCCCTTAGGTGGGGAAAAGGCCCAAATAAATATAGTTTGGCTAACTGATTTAAAGATGTCTCTTCAAATACTTGAAGGCTTTTTAAACATTAAGGCTAGATTAAAGATCAAAAATAACAATAAGAGAATTAACAAATAGATGGTTTCAAGGGAAAATTCCAGTAAATTAGATTAATTGAACGGAAAAATTTTCCCATTAGTGAAGAGTAAGGCCAATTTATCACAATACGGCCAATTTATCACAAACATAGAGATTATCCATATTTCCAAAAATCTAGGAATTATGGGTAAGGTAGAATCCTGCACAACGTTTCCCAAACTGTTTGGGTTTATGCACCACCACAGTAAAGTCAGTCACTCTTGTGTCCTCTACTTCCCCTCCAATACTTTCTCTACTGTTAATTTCCCCCATCTCTTCCTTCACCAATTCATCTCACTACCAATTGCTACCACCATCCTGGCTTCATGCTCTCAACTCTAGGAAGCTTTTGCACTCCCTAAGGGGAGCTCCCCACAGCTTGTGAAACATTGCTGTACAGTACTTAGTTATAATGGAATTAATTTCAGAAGATAGTTCACATTATTCTATACTTTAGAATCAGTCATTTAAAATAATTTCAAACATAACATTCAGTTCAGCATTTGAATGTGGCATTAATAGACTTACATGGATACAAATGGCTATAAATGTGACACAGCTATTCAGATGAGGTGAAATTAACTTCTGAAAAGAAAACCAGCCAGAAGCTTCATATCACTTCAAACCAGAATTCACCAAACATTTAAATATATGCTCAAGTATCTGTCTAGGGACAGACTGTGGAACAGGTCTGACATTCTTATTTTGAAGCCTCAAATGGAACTTAAATAATGCAGAACTGTTCAGTGGTGCTTTGCACAAGAGCAAATCTGATGAATGCAGATTTAATCAAGGTAATATTGATTATTATTTAGAATCATAAATGATGACAAATTTATGGCAATATTACCGCATTGTTTGTTTAAAATAAAACCCAAAACAAATCCGAGTCAGAATATTTTATATCAGTACTTTTAATGAAATTTTAGTTTTTCAATTCAACAAGGAAGACTACAAATGGTTTAAACACTCTGGAAAGTCAGTTAATATATTACCCCTACTTTTCAGTAGAAATTTAGGTATAAGGAAGTTGAACAATGTCTAGACCAGCACAGCAAATCTTTAGTAAAGTCAGGGATGCAATCCAGAGCTTTGGGTTCTCTAGTCTAACTGCTGGATCATACCCATCACTAAAATAAATTACATACCAGAGTGCTCTTCTGAGCTTCAGCCAGCTTTGTAGCTATGAAATATTGTATCGGAGCAAGCAATACAATTACAGCAGCACCAACTAATGCACTCTCTCCAAGCAAGTTATAAAGTAGGATCACGCCCATTATGATCTAAGGAGGGGAAAAGACACATACATCTCAGAAAAGCAACACATCTCAGTATGCTAGCAAAAGAGCAATGGAAAAATATATTCTTAAACTACATAAGGCATTTTTTACAAATTTTTAGATTAATGTAAATAAAACCACTCTTACTTTACTTCAAAAATTTTGAAAATCTAGGGAAAGATCCTACAGACCTATATTATTTCTGATTGACATGTTTGTTACAGCTATATTTAATACTGCTATTCAGGGATGAAGAACCCATCATATGGGCTGCCTTTAGACATGCCTGTTCACGTTTTAATTAGAACACATTGGAGAAGATTCAACTAATTGAGTCTGCTCCACGTTCTAATTAGAATGCTCCAGCATCGCTTCACTGTCATGTGCATTAAGCTCCCCCCCATGTTTCAAAATGGCTGCAGGGGCACTTTAACTAAATCTCATCAAACAAGTTTTAGTTAAAGAGCTCCTGTCGCCATTTTGAAATGTGTAGGGGCTTAATACACGTGACAGTGAGCTGCTTTAATTAGAGAGGCTGTCCGGGAACCACTCTAATTAAAACGCTTCCCACCCCGCTCCAGGCACATGTACAGGCAACCCATTGTATTAGAAGCTATACAAATAGGACAAAAAAACAGTGCCTGACCCAAACAGCTTTGCATGAGTAGTTCCATGGCATCAATATACAGGCTTTATTGATTCAGGACCTGTCTTTCTGCTGATTACTAACAAAGCAGAAATGTAATGGTGAACTTATACTGCATACAGCTGTCCACTAGGACCTAGTAGATGTATCTACATGTGCATTTAGGCGTGCCTAAATTTAATTCACATTAGCTTAATGCACATTAAGGCAATTTAGGCTCACGTCTACACACTCATGCATTAAAGCACATTAACACCATGTGCGCAGACTGATGTGGGACTAAGGTTAGTCTCAAGTCAGTCCATACACAACATTAACATGCCTTAATAAGTCTATATGTGCCTTAATGCACTTTAGCTATTTGCTCCTAAATCTGATACCTGCTTTTGATATGCACCCATTCTGAAACCACCAGTTCATTTAACAACCCAAAACATGTAAAATGATAACAATAACTAACTAAGGTAGCTTGGCTTTCAAGCATGGCTTTCAAAATGAATATCCCTTTATCATTGTTAAGCTTCTATACTAGCCAAGAGCTCTATTTTCTGTTTCTCTACCACAAATTTTCTTTGATAAACCATTGATTCCTGGATAATTGTCTAAAAAAATAAATAATGGAAAAACAATGACTTTTTTTCCAATATTATTGTTGTTGTTATTGTTGTGGATTAGTCATATAGTGTTTTAGATTTATGTGATCAAAACATAATACAGCAAAATCTTTCAGCTCCTGAGTATTTTTTCCATGGCCGGTGTCAATGATACACCTTATGAAAAATCCTAAACACCTATACATTCATGTTTTCTCCTGGGAGAGCAGCGATACTCCCAGAAGAAAATGAAATATGTACATGGCCAAAATTAAATGTACCAAGCAATAAAATGCTGCTCCTTCTATTCTGCTGTTCTTGCAACTTTTCAGTTTGTCCATAAGACAGGCAGGTCCTGTCCTATACAGACTAATGTACCTATTGAGAGCGGGATATTAACAAAACAAATAGAGGAGCAGCTGTGGGCAAAACTAGTCATTATTGGTTAAATCTACAACTTTGCAATCCTAATTTGAAAGCTTAACCATAAAAATCTCTCCCAGCTGGCCTGAAGGTAAGCAGCTCACCACGTTGGGAGAATACAAATACACAGCATTTCAACCATTTCCTTCCTGGACAGGGCTTTTTATTTATAGGTATATATAAGGCTATACTTCCCCCTGCATGTTCTAAAATAGCCTCCTAGATGGTCGCTGTGTTAAAAATATCTTCTGTTTTCAGGGTTTTTTCTTCTAAAAACTAGGCCCTTACTTCAGTGCTGTACCTGTACAGGCATAGCCCATAGGTTGGGACATAGGAACAAGAACCACATTAGCTGATTTGTTTCAATGGCAACCAAGTTATTGATCTGTCCCAATGTCATCTCTCCCATGGACAAGTTGGATGTAGAAAGTCTCAGAATCTTATTGTATATCATTGCCTGCAGGAAGGAATAAAATACAGTTTATAAAGTTGCAACAGTGACTGGACATTGTAAAGTTGAATATCAATAAATTATTCTTTCCCTGCCCCCACCCCCCCGAGCCACTGCTGATTGTTGGCAGCTGGCAGGGGAGGCAGAGCTGGGAAGAGGGCTGGTCCAGCAGCAATCCCCTGCGAGACTGCTGAAGCACCTCCACCTGCTGGCCTGGGCCACTGCCGGTGCAGGCAGGCTTCGAGCCCTCTCCCTCATCCCACCCCACCCCCTCCCCTCCACAACCAACAGGCGAAAGCCTGATGGGTTCCATGGCACTCTAACTCATGGTACTTTGTGTAAAACACCATAGTTAAAGTACCTCCCCAACAGGCTGCCTGAACTTCTGTACACACCCTAAGTGTGCCTAACTTAGCTTTTCGCTACCTACTGTAGCTTGCTGATAGTTTAGATAAAGGGCTAGTTTAGATGAAGGGCTTAGAAAAATGAAAGAATGAAACTAGATCCATTATTATAGAATTTTACTGCAAGCAGATCATGGAAACATCTGTACTCACCAGTAAGGCACCTCGCAGATTGATGCCAGTTTCGGTGGTAACATAATAGGAAGCCTGCAGAAATGTCCTTTGTAGGATGAGGGCCAGGAACAGCAGAACTGCTAGGACATAAGCATTTCCAAGGAAATCCTGTGAGGAGAGGTATGAGTCTGATTGATCCTATGACCAAAAAGAATGAGAAATGTAGAGAGATGATCTGTTATTTGGACAAGGAGAAATGGGAGATTCCGTTTTTACAGTGGAGCAACAATGATAATCAAACTGTAGTAAAGATACGATTACTTCAGTTTACTGCATAACTTCATGGCTTTGAACTTCTTTGCAGCTACAGGGTGAGAACCTAGATGTTCCATTATCAAAAGTACTTGAACACTTGTGCTGGAGAGAATTGCTCTTAGTAGAAGAAGGAATACGCACCAGTTCTTAGTAATAGTGATGAAGAAAGCCAGACCACAGAACTTCGGACTACTGTCACTCATGGTGTGGGAGGTGTTTAGCTCTGTTAGTTTCAAGTGAGGAAGAAGGTAGGGTAGGGTGATACCCTGTGCACAGGTGAGTACAGTAAACCATGATAGTTCCCAATAAGATACAGGCAGACTCACATTAAAGAATCTGTACGACGATTGGTGCTTATATGAAGGAAAAAGAGAAAAAGGTTCTTATTCCTTTGCAGATCTTGTTCTAAGTGACCCACACCTTAGTAGTGGTGTGCAATACCTGGCTCACTGAACAAATGTATCAGACATTGACAACTTTAGGTTGCCCATTAGATTCTGCAACTTTAGATTATTTTTTCTTTTAAAAATACCTGCGTGCACAGATCAGTGTGTTTCAAAAAAGTGCTCACACCATATCATTACCCATATTTTTTTTCAAATCTCTATCAACACAATTTTAGTTTGAGAACAGATATCAAAACTTCTGCAGTCTGCTGGATGTGAAACACTGAGTTTTGAATTCCAATGGCAATGGAAAAGTCCGGAATAACAACAGTTAGCAAAGAAACTATAATTAAATTATTACATTAGATTATACATATAATACATTAAATTATATTAATGTATACAAATTACATTATATTTTTCTTCTGATCCCATTAAGCAAATCATGTTGTTCATACATGTTGTACCAAAGGTTCTCAAGACACATGTTCTCTGATTATCCATATCACAGTAACAACACAGGAAAATTAAGTGCCAGCTTCCTCATAATGTCCCACCAATGTACTTCAGCCATCTCCTAAAGACCTAAAGGAACCCTGTTAAGGGGCAAAGGAGCAGTTCACTCACCCAGCTTATTATGGCATTACTTTCTCTGCTAAGTTCTGACTGCACTTCCTGGGATGCAGATCATACCTAGTAGAAAATGGAGCCCTTGTGAAAATAGACCATGGGGCAGCTGACAGATGACAATAATTATTACCTTTGGAAGGTTATTGATATGTTATTTGTATTACATACATTATCTTAAATCCTGCTATGGGATAAGCAAATAAAGTCTATTCATACAGTATGGCTATTAAGAGTTGGAGAAACAAATGAATGAAATAAGAGTATGCTGATCCTTTACTACAACTGAGAGTTGAATCCATCAAGAGGGGGAAAGGACTTTTGCTTAATACATTTTATTTTTTTTGTATTTTCTCCTCTTAACACTTCTCTGTGTTGCTCAATTTAGGCCAAAGCAGGAAGTGAATGTATCAAAATACTGTGAAGAAAACTGTTCTTATGGAATTTCCGATCCAGCTGGAAGCAGGATGTACTGGAATCCTTACAAAAAGCCTGTTCTCAGGAAAGCTGTTGCTTGATTTCTAGATGAGAAAGGTTTGGAAGACTATGAAACCAAGCCACATCTCTAGACCCTCTGAGATTCTTTCATCATAAGTGACTACACTACTGTGCTTTGCCATCAGATTGTGAGGGAGAACTACTCTGCTCCTCTTGTACTGACTTGAATGCAGTGCCTTCATCTGGACCCCATCTTGACTCACTCCTTCAGCATAGACAGTCTCTGAACCAAGCAGAGGATGATCTTGTGGTTATGGCACTGGACTGAGACCCAAGAGAGGTGGCTTTATTTCCCAGCTCTGCTATGGACTTCATGTAAAGTATTGAGCAAGGCTTTTAAATGGCCAGATTTTCAAAAATATTTAGGTACCTAAGTATGCAGGAAAGGCATCTCATGTCACTTTCTAAATGGCCTAAGCAAGTTAAGTACCAGAGTCCTATTGATTTCAATGGGAGTTAGGTGCTCAATCTCTTGAAACCTTTTGAAAATCTCATGAGGCACGTCCCAAGTGCACATGTAGCTTGTGGCACCACAAATCCATCTGCAGCACTGCAAACTGCACATGCTGCACATGCATGCTTTTGCCACACTGCTAATTATCAGTGCAATAGGCGGTGGCGGGGGGAGGGGGGGGAGGGAAGTGCATGTGGCAGCAGCGTGCACTGCCTGAAACCAGAGCTTGGCCAACCAGAACCAAACTCCAGCTGCTGGCCAGGCTGTGCACCCAGATCACTGTTGCTGCAACCCCAACACACCTCCAAGACCCCAAGTAAGGCAGCTGGGGCCAGCCCAAGTGCTGGTCCCAGCTCCTCTATCCCACCCGGGATAACCTGCTGTGTACCACAGCAGGCATACAGGGGCATTCCCCAGGGATAGCTAGCAGCAGCACAAATATGTGCTACTGCTATTTGTCCCTGAGAAAACA